CTAAACAGAACTAACAAGGACTCTCTCTGCTGTGCTGTGCTGTGCTGTGCTTCACTGAGTCTTGGCTCACTGAGTCTACCCCGGACAGCGCGCTCCAGCTCCACGGCTTTAACTTCTACAGAGTGGACCGCTCCACGGAGCTCTCGGGCAAGAAGAAAGGCAGCAGGATCTGCTTTTACATCAACCAAGGCTGGTGTACAAAAGTCACAGTGTTAATGAAAACATGCAGCCCTAACCCGGAAACTACGGAGCTCCAGAGGGGACGGAGGTAAAAAAAAATAATTAATTCGAGCGAACATTTTGCAGTTTGTACGCATGTTTTCTTTTATTCGTGATCATGATTTTCTCATTTGTTCTCTGGTTTTATTTTAATCATGGTCATTGTTACGACCTGTCTAGGGGTTTGAGATGATCATAACATAAAAAAGACAAAAGAGAGCCAGTTGACGTTTAAACAGGTCAAATCGTGTTATTTTCTTTTTATGCTGCTCTTTTGTGTATATGACACAGGAGAACGTCAGAGTGGGCAAGCGCCAAAACAATAAACATAACAAGCCTAGCTAGAAATGTTAGATAACTAACTTACCTATGCAAACATAAAGAAACAAAAGTACAGTCAGTCTTTCCTAACTCCCTAACTATACCAAAAACAGGAGAAAACAAGATCAAAAGAAATGGCACCCACTCCTACAACCTGGTCGGCATAAGAGTGAACATTTACAGAGACAGATCATGAGCTTACAGTTTAACTGCAGAGATAACTGGGTATAGAACAAGAGGTAAAGCTAAGCTATTTCATTTGAGAGGAGAGTAGACAATCGCTAGCAATAAAACAAACAAGCTGCGCTGCGGTTCGGATCTAAAAACAATCGCCCCAAGCCGCCATGGAGGAAAGCCTCGATAACATCCGGCGCAGCCGTCGAAGATATACGCCATGCAATTTCAGCCAGCCAATCAGATGAAATTTCGTTACGGTACTCCAGCCAATCACACGCACAAGTGGGAGGGTTCCTAATAAGCGAGAGAATAAGAGAGAGAGAGAAAGAACGAAAGGGAAGCAAGCAAAACAAAACATACGTCCTATATGGACGTAACAGTCATGTTTTATTTATAGCTGAATGCACGTTGTTTGTTTGTTTTTTTTAATTTGTGTGCAAAATCAATGTAGGAGATACAGGTCGTGTCATTTCTACTGTGCAGAAGATAACAGCTCCCTGAGACTGTCTGACGGGTTTTGATGTGTTAGATTGATGAGATAATGGACAGAGATGCTCATCAGGTCTGATTTTGATTTTGATTTATGAGGAAACTGCTTATAGTTTCAGGGAGCTGTTATCAAAACACAAACAATGTGTGTTCAGTTAGAAATGAAACATGACCACGATTAAAGGAAAACGAGAGAATGAATTAGAAAATCGTGACCACGAATTAAAAAAAAAACATACCCACGAAGTAAAGAAAACGTGCACACGATTAAAAGAAAATGAGGGAACAATTTAAGAAATCGTGACCACGAATAAAAGAAAACGTGCGTACGAACTGCAAAATGTTCGCTCGAATTAATTCTTTTTTTTTTTACCTCTTTTTTACACTTTTTATAAACTGTAAACCATTTTATTGTCCGAGGGAGTTTTCGTCTGTTGTACTCACAGGAATCTATATTCCACCCCAGGCGTGCGTGCACACAGACTGTTTTTATCATTTTAGGGGACTTCAACAGAGCGCAACTCACCAGCAAACTGCCTAAATACAGACAGCATGTTACCTACCCCACCAGGGAGAGTAATATTTTAGACACTGCTACACTGTGTCGCTCTGCTCTGGGCCTGTCCGATCACCCGCTAATCCACCCCCTTTCCAACCTATAGGCAGAAGCTTAAGTGTGCCAAACCTGTAGTCAGCTCTGTGAAGAACTGGACCACCGAGGGGCTTCAGGACTGCACGGAATTAACATATTGGAGTGTGTTTGAGGACACTACAGGCAGCCTGGATGAATATACGGATACTGTGACATCCTACATCAGTTTTTGTGAAGACACCTGTGTTCCCACCAAGACTCGCATTAAATATAACAACAACAAGCCCTGGTTTAATGCCAGACTGAAACAGTTGTGCCGGTCTAAAGAAGCAGCGTATAGGAGTGGAGATCGGGCTCTGTACAATCAGGCAAGGAACACGCTCAACCAAGAAATCAGAGCTGCAAAAAAGAGCTACTCAAACAAGCTGAGTAGTATGATGTCCACAAATGAGCCATCAACCATCTGGAAGTGCCTGCAGAACATCACCAGCTCCAAAGAACACCCCCCCAGAAAACAGGTGATGATCAGCTGGCTGATGAGCATAACACCTTTTATTGCAGGTTTGAAAAGCCCAGGCTACAAAGGAGCTTCTTCCCACAAGCCATCACTCTCTTGAAGAGTTAAAATATTACACATTAAAATATTTAGACCCATACTTTGCACAATGTAAAGGTTACAGGTATGACTGTGTGTGTGTGTATGAGTGAGTGATGGTAGGAATGCATGTTTTATTTATTTATTTATTTTTTTGTATTGTATTTTTATTTTATTTTGTTGTATTTTATTTGATATATTTTTATTTTATTCACTACATGTAAATGTCTGTCTGATACTGTGCACTGTGAGCTCCTGTAACCAAAACCAAATTCTTGTATGTGTAAGCATACCTGGCCAATAAAGCTTGATTCTGATTCTGATTCTATCACAGTACCACGCTGGAATTCACTGAGCTCCTGAGATCGACCCATTCTTTCACAAATGTTTGTAGAAGCAGTCTGCATGCCTCGGTGCTTGGTTTTATGCACCAGTGGCCATGGAAGTGATTGGAACACCTGAATTCAATGATTTGGATGGGTGAGTGAATACATTTGGCAATATAGTGTATGTTAAAGTGGACTGTTAAGGTGGAATGCTAATTACGAAGTTAGATAAGTGTTCACAGGACATTTCTTGTTTCTTTTGCTTAATAAGACATTTAAACCATCAGTGCGTGCATTTGGTTGTTTTTTAATAAGAGCTGTAACTTTTATTCACGATTTTAGGGTTTTTATAGTTCGTGTAGTGTAACAGTTTTGTTGTAATATGAGTGCATAGTGTTTAACAGGCGCAGCTGAGAGCACAAGACAGATAGAAAAGCTAATATAGCCTGTTTATTCGCCTTTTGTGCACTCTGTGGAGGTGGAGAAAATAAATGCTCCCTCGTGTTAAGCTGGTGTGTTGGTGTCATCACTCTGCTCATCATTCAACCCTACACAACACATCATCAGTCAAAGATACAGTCCCATTACTTATAGCATTAACTATAGCAAAAAAAAAAAAACAATACTGCTAAATTGGAAAGATAAAAAAAATATTTCTGTCACACAGTGGACTAACCTATTAACAAAACACCTATCTTGTGAACAAGCATCAGCTGCAAGCCACAACAAAATAGATGCATTTAATCTAAACTTTTCAAACTTACTAAAACTATGTAACATGACATGAGTAGTAGTACCCCGATACTGAAAGATTTTTTTTTGTTGTTTTTGTTTTTTTTCCCTTTACATATTTGAGAGTGTGTAAATGTATGCATATATGTATATATATGTACATACATATATACACATATTTTATAAGGACATCTTGTATAATGCAACACACCATCAGTGAGTGGTGCTGTGCAGGGGCATGGGATGCTGTGGGGTCCTTAGGGGGCTTCCCCCACCATTACCACCATCCGCCCCCCTCCCGTTACAGCAGAGCTCTGGTGCCTCCTCGGAGAGAGCAAAATCAGCAGCTTTCACTGACAAACACAGAACAAAGGAATCCTGTGCGTAGTGGCCATCTCAGTAAGGCCACATGGGCACTTCAAAGGAATCCTGTGCAAAGTGGGCTTTTAAATAAGACCCAGAAAGTGGCTCTGATGCGATGTTCAGCCTGCGCTGGGAAGCAGGTTGGGGCTGGAGGGGTGGGGGAGAGAGACGAAGAGTACAGAGGGGACAGAAAACGGTTGGTGGGGGGTCCTCAGGGCACCCTGGCTCTCCCTTTCTTCTGCACAGCAATGCAATATTGCCTACTTATTATTGCTGTAATAGACTATTGTATTTTATGTACAAAATGTTGAATGGGTGTGTGTGTGTATATGTGTATACATAAATCTTACTACTTTATTCACTTCGTATACTGCCTGTCTGTCATTGTTACTATTATTATTTTTATTATTATTATTATTACTATTATTACTACACCTCCTTTTTTTTTGGTTTGGTTTGTCTTGTATCACTTTGTTAGTTTGCCTTATGTACTGTCTCTCTGGTATGGGAATAATTTCTTTTTTTCTTTCCTTTTGAGTGTGTTTTTTCTTTGTGGCTTGTTTTGTCTTAATGTACTTGTCTGTCTCTTGTACAATATATTTGTTGCTAATAACCCACACAACACAGAACTCGTTACATGTATGTATTTCATATATTTCTCGCTTTCTTGCTATATATTGTTTTATGACCTCTGTGGCATATGTATTTTGTAGTACTGTATGTTCACTACATGCTGCAGCCCCTTCGCTCCCACGGCTCCAATCATCAAGTGGTTGGTAAAGAAACACACAAAGAGCAGTCTACCTTTCACTCTGGATCCATTTCAGTTCGTGCAGCATCCTAACCAGTCTATAAAGGACACCATGTCTGCCACTTACCTTTTACTGAACCACCTGGACAGAAAAGAAACTAAATTATTCAGCCATGGTCATAACCAGGGGGTCAGCAGAAGTGATGTGTGATGTGAACCAGACGTCCACTTTTGAAAGCTCCCTCACAGAAATGTACTACATGAAGTGGTTATGAATACACTGCCTGATGTCAGACATAGTCTACAATAGTTTTGAGACTTCGATTTAAAACATATTTTAAAGGGAAACATGTAGGACATTTGTGTACCTTTGATTTACATACATATTCATAACATCGGTGGAACACAAACTGCATCCCAATTGTCGAGTCAGCCATATCATATTTTTATTTAACAGGTGATTTTCTCAAGCAGTTCAGACACAATTTGATTTCTTTTTGTTTCTTGGGCTGAAAAGCAAGAAGAGTTTTGCTCCACAGTTTTAACAAAGCAGTAAAGTACAAATACATATAAATCAGTTTAATGATTACATATAATCGCATAACATGAAAGCTGAAATGAAAATTGGATATCCTACTGCACACTAACTAGATTCATTAGTTTAATAAAATGGTCATAGTTTATTGTAGAAGAGATGCTGTGTATTCATGATCTTCCCAAATGATTTAAACTAACATTTGCATTCATTGCATTTGACAGATGCTCTTATTCAGTGACTTACAGTTTAATATTTTTACACAAATAGATGATGGTAGTCTTGCCCAAGCACTCCTATTGGTATAGTAAGGGGGGGATTAAATCACAGTCTATAGCATGGCAGGCAGGTGTTACCCACTACACTACACCAACCACTTCTTTTTTTTCATGCAGTGGTTTTGTGAGGATGAAGCCAAAATAGTGCTGCTTTTAGCAGTGTTAACAGGACTTGTTACATGTTTACACATAAATGTGCAGTTACTCCTACACTGCATTGAAGAACAGAGCCAGTTTTGGGCAAGACGATACAACTTTGAAAACAAAGCATTTGTTGGAGAAGAATAGCGAGAGAATCTCCGCTTATCAAGGACATCACTGTTGTTGTTGAGTGAGCTGCTTCACCTGCACATTGAAGGGAAGACAACTGTAATGAAATTGCCTGTCAGTGTTAAAAAAGTTGCCTGCACACTCTGCTGTTTAGCAGATGAGGGGACATTATGCTAGACGTCAAACGTTTGGATTGCCAAGACAGGTGGTTTTGAAAATAGTAAAGCAAGTGTGTGAAGCATAGATTAAATTTGATTAAATTCCAATCAAATATGACATGGAAAACATGTAAATGAATCACTCTGGCTGCGAGTACATGACTTCACTGCAGTAGAAATCTTTAGTGGTTTTGGTGAACTTCTCTCTCTGCATGTTCTTGAACAATACTAGAGTCGGGGCAAAGACTTCAAACACCAATCTTTCACACAGTTTTATAGTGGCTTCAAAAGACGGGTCATAATTAATTACTCTTTCTTTCTGATTGATGAGCACTGCTTTCTTAACACCACACACCCACATCTGATAATTGAGGAGAATTCTAGTGTCCTTTAGGAGGTTTTTCTTGGCAGCCTCATTTTTCTTATCAAGGACAATGATCTGTTTTACTTCAGTTTGGGGGTCCGTATGCATCATGACCTTTTCTGCAATGAAACATGGGTACTCACTGTGTTCTACTTGGTTTTCAATTGAAATGCAGTCAAACATTTCTTTGGCTTCTCCCTCATTGTGGCATTTTTCCTTTACCCACTCACACAGCAGCCTGTAATGTTCATTCATTTTGCTTTCTTTCAGCTCTTGTGTTTTGTCTTTTTCTGTTGCCTGGTTATTGAGCTCTTGTGTTGTTTTGTCTTTTTCTGCTGCCCAGTCTTTCCTGTTCTCTGCCTCATAAGGCTCACTGTTGCCCTGTCCTAGGTCAACCTCCTTGTTTGGTTCACTCACAATCTGCTGCATGTCCACAGTGATTCCCTCTGGTGGTGCGTCATCTTCTCCATCAGACTTTGGAGGTTTTCTTTGGGGTTTTTTTGCTTGCTTTTGAACATTTTGAGGCCGCAGCTCTGTGTCTCTCTCAAAAAACAAATCTACTGCAAGATTAGGAAAGTCCACACCCTGTGACTGAAAAAATCTCTTAAGTTTTTGGTTACTCTCAATTTTTTTAACCTCATTGATGCTAAAACAAAAACTTTTTTTCAGCTTCTTATCTTTTAGGTTTTCTTTCAGTGCCTCCATTTGACCATCTGCAAGCTTGTTTTTCAGTTCATCAACAAGGTTCTGGCTGTTTTCCAAAGCAGACACCCATTTTTCCAGCTTGGCAAAGGTGAACAGGGTCTTGAGATCTGTTTAAGGAAACACTGATGTTAACAGATTGCAGATTAGAGTGAACATTTTTAAAGGAACCCCAGCTGATGAGATGTTTTGACGTTAATATGATGTAAATAACAAAGTAGTTAGTGAATCAGAAATAAGAATGCATTTGTCTGTCTTAATGTGACATATTGTTGAGTGAATCAGAATATTTGGGCAAGAAATATTTTTTTTTACTTTTTAAGATGTAGATGAAGCAAAGTTGTCAAGTCTAATTAGATAATGTGTGTGAGATGGACTGTGTGTGCACATTGCTCATCAGCAGACCTGCCTCACAGCTTAGAGCTAAGTGCTATTATTGTGAAATGGAAGCATCTAGGAGCAACAACAGCTTAGCCACAAAGCAGTAGAGCACACAAACTCACAGAGCAGGGCTGCCGAGTGCTGAAGCGCACAGTGCCTATCCTCTGTTTAACGACTCAAAAGTTCCAAATTGCCTCTGGAAGCCCCATCAACAAAAGAACTGCACTCATCTGGGTTTGGCGAATACCAGGAGAACGTTATCTAGCTGACTGCATTGTGCCAACTGTAAATTTGGTGGAAGAGGGATAATACTATGGGATCGTTTTGCAGGGGTTGGCCTAGACCCCCTAGTTCCAGTGAAGGAAACCTTTAGTGCTTTTAGTGCCCCCCATTTGGGATGAACTATTACATAGATTGTGAGCCAGGCCCTCTAATCCAACATCAGTGTCTGACCTCACAAATGCTCTTCTGGATGAATGGGCAAAAAATCCCACAGACACTCTCTAAAATCTTGTAGAAAGATTGTTAGCTGCAAAGGGTAAGGTTTGGTATGAAGTGTGTCCCCAGTGTGACCAGATGAGATCCGATTGTACTTTTCCTGTGTAAAAATCACATTGACATACATGTCATTTCCATCGGCTCAGACAGCAAGAAGTCTCTTGGTATGGAGCTACCTTCAGCCTTGTGTATCCTCCATCTTTAATTTAGTTCTCGCACCTGCTCATCAGATGCTTTTTGCTTATGTAATCTTATACCAATCAGAGTCAGTTTAGGAGGAGCCTGCCCTTTTCCTATTTCCCCATTATAGCAAAAAACAGGACTGCAAAACACCAGAGGACGCCCGCAAGTGAGTCCTCAATAAATGGGGGGCAAATGGAGCTAAACGGCTAAAAAAAAAAAGTTAAACTAGGTTCTAATCACTTACCTAGGACCTTCCTTTAATTTAGAAAGTAGAGGGTCGTATTTCACTAAAAAGGCAAAGAAAACCTGTATGTAGGGTTTGGCGTTAAAATGATAATAATTATCGTGATATAACTTTCCTCGATAGAAGTATAAGAAATGTTCGATAAATGTTTTATATAATAAAGCATTCTCACACTTCTGTGTTCTGGCGACAGCCCTGATGGCATTTTCTACTGCAAGGAAAGCAACACTACTCTGCTGTCGCCATGAGAGGGCGCACTTCTGAGTTTTTTGACATGATTAGAGGACGGCAGTCAAGGAGTGAAATGAGTCACCTAATGCACGTTATCAACGTCTGAGAGTTCCTGGTTACTCTGGAACATCTGATGTTTGAGGTGGCACACTTGCCTTGTCAGACTGTGATATGAGGTGAGATTCAGTCTTTTCCTCACTCTGCATTGGATCTGCAGAGTGAGGAAAAGTGGAGTCAGGATCACAGTTCATTTGTTGGCTTTCACTTAGCATTAGACTGTCTACTTCCACACTCAGAGTGGTAGACTGAGATGGCTCTGCTGTAAATGTCTCCTGCATGTCCACTGTGGTGCCCTCTAGTGGTGCACAGTCTTCTTTCTTAAACTGTGTCTGGACATGTGTGACATTTTGGCCCTGGGCTGCATGGAGATCTTGCGTTTGCTTTTGAACATCAGACTCTCCAGAGGGAAGATTTTGCTGAGATTCAGATGACACATAGGTGGTTTTGGGCTCAGTGGGTTTTTGCTCATTATGCTGAGCATATTTGTCCTCTGTATGTTCACAGGGAGCACAGAGGTCATCAGACTGTGTCTGATCCTCACTTTGTGACAAAACATAATTGCTGAGAATAGACTGATCGCTGTAACTTGAGCTGTCAAAAGACTCATTTCTGCTTCTGTTTAAATTCTTGTCATCACTGTAGTCTGCAAAAAATGTCAGAATTGTAAGATTAGGAAACTTTACACCTTGATTTTTTCTGAAAAGTGACGGCTATTAGTCGGCTATTGTCAATCTCTTTAATATTTGTTACACTTAAACGTAAACTGTTTTTCAGAATTTTATTCTTCAGTTTCTTCTTTCAGTGTCTTCATTTCACCAACAGTAAGCAATAGGATCTAACTGCTCACCATGTAGTCATGAGGGAGAGGGATGCAGGCTCACTTCCCGCTCTAAAATGTGGAGGTGTGGCCAAAATAAGGCTCTGCCTAATGATTATAACTCTGTTTCATTAGTGGGACAGCATCGTTTAAGTAGATTTTTATCAGAAAAATAACCTTGGGATGAATCTAAATATTTCAATTTCACTTTAAATGAAATCAAAATAAAAATAATAAAAAAAACAACACCGTGGTGCAATCTTATTCAGCCCGCAAAATTATTTTGAATTTTCTATTAATATTTACACCTTACTTTTTACACCTCTGACAAAACCTGAATAGGACAATAAGCTTAAATTTATTTTAATTAGAATAAGCAGTAAAATGTCTTTGACTCCTTTTTTGCCATACAGTTCGGAATAAACATTTAGAATGTTTTGTACTTGCATCTCAGCCAGTTTGTCAGTTCAAATGAATGTTTGTCAAGAGGCACAAATTACAGTGAAAATTAAGTACAGCTGACATTTTTAACCATTAAAGCTTTAACTGATGTTTAAAACATAGAATTACAACAATACTACAAAAAATACAAGACTTACTAGGTGTTCCGAGACCACTGTCTGTCTGATCCACAGCTTCTGCAGAGCGTCTGCACCTCTTTCCTATGTGTGTGTTAGAGTGGGTGTGTGTGTGTGAGAGAGAAAGTGTGTGTGTGTGTGTGTGTGAGAGAGAGAGAGAGAGAGAGAGAGAGAGTGAGTATGGAGTGAGATTACTTTCTTTAATGAGAGCGCAAAGAGAAGGTTAAATCGACTAAGTCAGAAAAACGAGCGCGCAGAATCAAGAAAACCAAGCGCAAACAGCGGCAGTAAGAGCACAGAAACAAGAACTGCGCGCTTCATTATTATTACAGCAGGAAATACGTCAGCGGCTTGGTAGCTGATTACCTGAACTGTCGATTGCAAGCGTTCACGGTTTTGATCTGTCTATCTATCTATCTACATATATATATATATATATATATATATATATATATATATATATATATATATATATATATAACATTTGAAGAAGTCAAGCCAGAGTGCAGGACAATGGTTCTAAAACAAAAAAATTATATAGTGCCTCTAATGTAAGGATATGTATTTTCTGGCTTGGCCTTTGGAAAGTTCCAATACAATATGTAATACACAATTATCTAGAGGTGGTCGTTCACAAGAATGAGAAGTTTAGAATAATCGTGTTTCATATTTAAATAGAAACTGATGCCCAAACCTTTTACTTCGTTTTGCCTATGCATGTGACACCTATATATCCACAGGATAGTATGTCATGGGTTAGGTAGGTTAGGTGGGTTGGGTATGTCAGGTTAGGTAGGTCTTTAGCTGTGACACTTGTCACCTGAAACATCACTTTATTGCATTCAAAAGCAAAAGAAAATAAAATGTGCCATTTAGACTGTAATAATATTACCACATAAAATATACTTTACTGCTCAGCTCTCTGGTTTCTTGATCTGTGACATCATCTGAGGTAAGGATCAATTTGTCAAAATCTAGGCAAGGTGTAGCGCCATTCACGCATATAATTTGGTGGTGGACTCTTTGAGCCAAGCTTGCAGCAAAAAATGTCTCCAAAAGTCCTAAGAATATGTACACAACAATTAAGGTGGCCAAAGAGTTTATAACAATATATTTACTAGTAATAATTATAGATCAATACCTGAAGTAACACTGGTCAGGGGCAGTTACTGAGCAGATGGGATTCTTCCCTTTTTGGTCAGAGCTTAATCTAAAGAAATGTGTTTTAATTATTGACATCACGTCTGCCAAGAAATTAAGTGTATTACATTTGAACAGCACTACTAACGCAACCCCTCTCAGAATATGGAAAGCACACCATAAAACGACATAAAATTCTCTCAACCTACTGAAAGTACTTGAAAGTGATTACTGATGAGAAAAAAAGTATTTAAAATAATTAATATCCAAATAAACAATAATGAATCATTAAAGAAACTGCCAGTTAAAAATTCCTTCAATGCTCCTGTATCTACACTGGCTTTACCCACAGATAACACACATGCAGGGAGCATTGTGGGGTGCTTTTAGCGTACAATGTGTTATTTTTTAAATAAAACTTTTATTATTAAACGTTCAGCTAATTTTTATTTTTTTTTCCCAATTTAGTCGTCTCCAATTCCACCCGCTAGTTAGGACTCCCCCAATCACACGATACTATCAACGCTAGGAGGGTGAAGGCTAACACAGGCTTCCTCCGAGACCTGTGAAACCAGCCACCGCTTCTTTTCGAACTGCCGCTCACGCAACATCACTGGACAGTTGAACGCGCTCGGAGGAAAGCGCCAACCGCCAGATCTGTTACGTCAGCTAACAGACGCCTGCGCCGACTAGCATGAGTGATGGGGGGAGAGGGGGGGGGGCATCCTTCCCACCCAGAGAGAGCGAGGCCAATTGTGCTCTCTCGGACTCCGGCCTACGGATGGCTGTAGCATCACCAGGGATCGAACTCGCGATCTCCTGATGATAGGGCCAACGCTTATACTGTCTGCTTTTGCTGTCGGCCTGCTTAATAATATAATAAATAAATTAGTTCATAAAGGCAAGACTGAAAAACAGTTGTTGGATATGTGTATAATTCAGATAATTCAAGGTTGAAAAAAACAATGGCAACAAATTCAAGCAGTCACAGACTGAACACTTGCAATCGACAGTTCAGGTAATCAGCTACCAAGCCTTGGCCGCTGACGTATTTCCTGCTGTAATAACGAAGCGAGCAGAAATTTCAGAATCAAGCAAAAAGTGAAAGGCGAGCTGAAATCAGTGGAGCGAGCGCAGGGCTGAGATAAGCGAGCACACTAAACCCCTGGTGTGCCATATCTGAAGCGCGCAGTTCTTGTTTCTGTGCTCTTAGTGTCGCTCGGTCTTCTTGATTCTGCGCGCTCGTTTTTCTGACTTAGTCTATTTAACCTTGTCTTTGCGCTCTCATTAAAGACAGTAATCTCACTCCATCTGTGAGTCATAATAACCTGTACATGACAGAGATATGAAATAATACTGAAAGAATAATGCACACTTTATAACAACTCACTTGCTGGGGCTCCACCGTCTGTCTCGCTGCTCTTTTCTGTATGAAATTAATAATAAAATAAATAAATTCCACACACGCTAAGTCAAATAGATCGTAATAGCATTAATGAAATGCTTATTATTAAGACATCACTGTTGTTCAATTTAGCTCTAATGATTCTGAACGTTTTGTGCATCTTTATGTGAGATACCACTGCAGACTAATGGAGAATAAAGAGAACAACACTGTGCTGTTAAAGACACACAGGCTTACCCAGCTCTTCAATCAGATCAGGCTCGTTGTCCTGCAGCCATTTCAGCGTCAATTCAAATCCTCTGTTTGAGTTCAGATGCTCATAAACTTCACGCATTTTATCCACTCTGGTTTTCTGAGTGCGGATCTTACTGGCCATTTCTTGAGAAAGAACGCTCGGCTCAGAAAAACTTGGTTGACTCAGGACGTCAGCCAAACTGTCCACATCTCTCACACGCTGTACAATTGTGCTTTGGTGGGTCTCCAGAAAACGCCAAGCCTCAGATTCTTGCATATTCCTATTAGTACAAAGAACTCAGTTAGAAAGCAACATTATTAATGTCACTGCACAGAACTTCAGAAAATGAATACTGTCTTCCGAAGTTTCATTTTCAAACTGCGCATGCAGTTCACTTTACAGTTCATTTTAGAAATGCTGTTTTCCACTTGCTTTGTAACTGATTCACCATTTCAAATGTGTTCATTCCTTCTCATACCATCTCAAAATACCTGGGAGCCAAAATATTTTTCACATATCATTAAAAATATTAAGTTTAAAAAAAGTGCATAGAATCGAAGCTTTCTGTGAGCTACCATGTTTCACTGTAGAAAAGATGCACATATCCTCAGTAGCACTCAGAAGTGGATATGCGTGTCAGAATTGCTTTGTTTTTGGTCATGGGTAGATAGATACCAACACGAGATCAGAGCAGCCCTACCTGTAGCCATCATTAAAAACATCTCTGATTGATACCACAGTAGCTCTTCTGTTGGTTTTTCCCTCCTTAGACCACTGTCAGTAGGTACTCACCACTGCTGACCAAGGTGCCCCAGTATTATCTGCTTCATCTGTAAGTTATCATAATGTTTTGGCTCATCAGTGTACACACCCCCGTCCCCTTTATGAGCTCCACCTACATTATAGCTCCACTTTGGGGAAGTGCAGACCTACACCCAAAACATTTTAAATGGCCATTTTTGCCATAAGAAATTTTTTTATAAATTTTTATTATAACATTAAATGTATCATATGTGATACACAATCCTTGGACCCCCTTTTTCATCTTCTAGTTTTTTTATTTTTATTTTATTTTTTTTTTATTTTTCCCACAATTTTCTTTCCAATTTAGTCGTCTCCAATTCCAGCCGCTAGTTAGGACTCCCCCAACCACACGATACTATCAACGCTAGGAGGGCAAAGGCTAACACAGGCTTCCTCCGAGACCTGTGAAACCAACCACCGCTTCTTTTCGAACTGCCGCTCACGCAACGTCACTGGACAGCCGAACGCGCTCGGAGGAAAGCGCCAACCGCCAGATCTGTTACGTCAGCTAACAGATGCCTTAGCATTTTATGAGCTTTATGAGCTCCACCTACATTATAGCTCCACTATGGGGAAGTGCAGACCTGCACCCAAAACATTTTAAATGGCCATTTTTGCCATAAGAAAATGTTTATGATTTTTTATTATAACATTAAATGTATCATATGTGATGCACCACATTTTTCACCACATACATACCCATTTTTGATCTTCTAGTGGAATGCACTACCCAAAAACTGATTGTACACTTTTTGCTAGTGAAATATCAGTGCGATATAAACCTTTCACACACATTTTCCAAACAATTAAAAAGTGCTTGTTTGCATAGTGAAGCACAAGGACACTGAGTAAGAAATTTAGCAATAGAGTTAAATGGAATTGAAAAAAGTAATATTTGAATACTACTTGTAACATGCATGTCAAATTTGATGCTTTGAGTAAATTATTATGAGATATTATGAGTAAATTTCATAATAGCAATGTTTACTATCTATGCCATTTTTTTATAGCTGCTTTGCCACCTCAAACAGTTCTTTAGAACAACAAAGTAAATATTAAGACAAACCAAATAAAGAACAAAAACGCTGATGAATGAATACCTGACTGACGTAAATTGTCAGCTACAAGAGAGGGGATTCCCAGTGGCACTTGGAAGCTGTACCTGAGTTTCATACCAAGTAGGCTGTGTTTACTAATTTATTGCTTACACTGAGTCCACTTTCAGCTGCATTTATTCAAATAACCTCCTCACATTATATTAAACATTTTAAATAAAACTCCTTGAATAGGAATTGGTGGTGTTCTCTGGGTTATTACTCTGTAACTGGTTTAAATTCAGCCATTAAAGAATCGGTTTAGCTTTTCCTGCTTAGTTCAGTTGAATGATTAACACATTCATCCTTTCATTTCAGAGGAAATGCAGAGATCAGTTTCACTTTCAAGTAGTTCTTTATTGCTCTGAGTACTTTAACCGAAAGATCTTCATCTCTTTTTTAACCTGTACGGTACACTAATCACACTACTTACCTTTGGTTTCTGTTTAGTTGTGTTTATTCTGAGTTTAACTGACCCTCTTTGTCTGACTCGCTCTGCCAGCACTGTAATCCCTATGATTGAATAGTGTCTTAGAGGTTGAAAAATAACTTGATTATCTTTCTCACTCAGGCTGCTGGAAATAGCACAAGTATGAGGTACCAGCGCATCAGTTATGCTAGGTTTAATGTCTCGGAGGTTAAATGCAAACACTGTTATCCAAACGTTTTATTAATGATTCAGAGGTTTTGTGTATTACTTTAAAGCATGATCTTTTTATGGCTGCCATTCATCCAGTGAATGACGAGAACAATTCCTTATTCAGGGTGCAGGAAAAGACTGGAGTAGAGCTGTTGTGCTAATTTTAATCAAACTTTTCTGGAGGTTAAATATTAGCACTGTTATCCCATGGACTGCATTACAGGTGGTGATTACCTATTTTTTCGCCATTGTTTATTGGTTTATACTTGTAAGCACTTTGTCTTTATTTTTCCTTTTCATGTTCTTTTTACTTTTATTAAAGCACATTAAATGGCCTTTGTGTAATAAATCTGCTATGTAAATAAACTTGCCTTGTCTTACTTGACCTAGATTTTCTTCCAGACCTCAAAGAGCTGTAATCCTGACCACCACATCATCTACAGGACTAAACTTACATATCAGACTGACCTCACAGCAAGTCAAGTCCCAAGTCAAGACAGTAGAGTCTTGATTCAAGTCCCGAGTCAGTGCAGATGAGTCAAGTCTCAAGTCAATAGTCCTAATCTTCAAGTACTAAACAAGTCATTTATTCTTTAGCTAATTTAAGGCCATTTCAACCTAAACAACAAACATGATGTAACAGTAATTTTAATGACAGTGTGTTAGTGGTGTGTGGCTGTATATTCATTTAAGTATTTAATTTTTCTTTTACCCTTCCAAATAAAATACAAAATCCATAGTACATAGATAACCATTACAGACATAAAGGTATACACAAAGTACAACTACACACTAAACTTATAAAAAATAGCTCAGCAAACTAAAAACAGACGCTAGTTTGAACTGAATTTAGTAGACAACAGAAACCAAAACGACAAAGCTGAGCTAAACAAAGTTTACAGAAAAGACAGCATAATAATAGTAAATGTATGAAGCTGGAGTTGACTTTCTATTCATCAGCTTCTTATTCAAATATTCCATTCTACCTTAAATCGTGCAGCAGTTACATTCTGGCGCCTATCTGCTGCACCATTTAAGGTGGAACAATAAATTCCAATATGACTTCAGTCTTTAGGTGGATGTTGCAGTTGTTTTAACTGCAAAAGCTGTTAAATCGGGTCAAACAGAGAGAGCTGTGTTTATTTTTTTTCCATGAGGAAAATGGTCAGTTCGCCTGGTAAGTTTCTCCAGTACAGTGCAGGCTTATTTCTACCTTATGGAGGAAAACTTGAAGTCTAACGCTTCACTCATCCTCCAAAATAAAATAAGCCAAGCATAAGGACAGTGACAGACGTTTGATGATGTTGCTGTACATCAAATTTACAGCAGGAAACACATCCATTCACATAAGCGGCTGTGTAGAGTCCCATCTGCAGTCAGGCTCTCCACATCTTTTCTGTTTGGGCCTCGAGTCTTTCAGAGTCATAAAGCTCAAGTCTGAGACAAACAGAGTTATTTATGTTTAAATCAAAGTCGATTCGCAAATCATCAAATTCGTGACTTGAGCCTGATTTCAGTCCAAGTCATATGACTTGAGTCCACACCTCTGATATGAGGAAATAATAATTGAGCTGAGGATACAATTTATTTGTTTGCATTTTGTTTCTAGCAAAACAAAATGAAGGACTGTGCAAAAGTCAGAGATCACCAGCAGGAAAAACTTTGGAAAAATTTGTTACCTTTGTAACAAAATTTTGTATTTTTATAAAGTCAAGGCCGAATGTTTATTGATTATGAAGAGGCGTTAACTCAGGGGACGGCTTGGGAACGTCCACACCTGTATAAGTTGTGAGATGTTACCTTGTGAGTGAGGCTGAACCCTGCCTAGTGTGCTCATGGCAAGGTGATGTGATTTATCAGAGTTTGAACGAGGCATGATAGTGGGTGCCAGATGGATGGATAGGAGCAGAAGATCCACCAGAGTGCCTCTGTTAACACCATGACATGACCTGGGCTTGACCCAACTGGACCCTAGAAGACTGGCAACACGTGGCGTGGTCTGATGAGTCATGATACCAATTGTTTTGGGCTGATGGTAGAGCTCTTGTGTAGTGCAGACCCCATGAAACCATGGACCCCAGCTGTCAACAAGGCACTGTGCAGGCTGGTGGTGGTTTCCATACTGGTGTGGGGTTTGTTCTCATGGCATTGGTTGGGTCCACTGGTCCACCCAAATGGCAATGACCGGTGACTGCTACATTTCGATTATACACAAATATATATATATATAACACATCTGGTTCAGATTATTTATACTCGTATAATCGAATATAAATAATTCAATTAAATTATGTGTGTGTGTGTGTGTGTGTGTATATATACATATACGTATATATATATATATATATATATACGTATATATATATATATATATATATAAACACTGGAGACTAAGCTACATGTATTTCTCCAACTGCATTTATTAGCTGTTAAAATGATGTACAGTGTATTCTAGTTCAAACTATTTCTTTCAGATTCATGGGCTGAAAAGCAAGAAGAGTTTTGCTTCAGTTTCAAAAAAGCATGTAAAGTACAAATACATATAAAGCAGTTATAAATGTTTACGTAAATGATCACATATAATCATATGACAGTGGAAATGAATAAAGTGGATGTAGTTTATTGTAGTAAAGATGCTACGTATTTATGAACTGACCATACAATTTTATTCTAACACCTAATAAAGTATTACAGAACAAACAGGAATTGACAGCATAGAGACCTTAAAATTCCAATCAAACCTGACAGAGCCATCAGTGAAAACTGTTAAATGAATTACTCTGGCTGTAAGTAAATGACTTCATTGCAGTAGGTATCTCTAGTTGTTTTTAGTGAGTGAATGCAGTATTTTTTCTCTCTGCATGTTCTTGAACACTGCTAGAGTCGGAGCAAAGACTTCCAAAACAAACCTTTCACACTTTTTTATTGTTGTACTTTCAAAATCCGGGTCACAATCAATTGCGTCATCTTCCTGATTAATGGGCATAGCTTTCTGAGCACCACACACCCACATCTGATATTTGAGCAAAAAGTCATCCTCTCGGGGCTTGTCATTGTTCTTTTTCTTGTTCATTTTCTGATCAGTGACAATGATCTGTTTTTCTCCGGTTTGGGGGTTTTTATACAAAATGACGTTCTCTGTATCAAAGCATGAGTACTCACTGTGTTCTACTTTGTTTTCAATAGAAATGTGTTTAAACACCTCCCTTACTTCTTCCTCACTGCCACTGGGGCATTTTTTCTTAACCCACTCACACAGCAGTCTGTCCTGGTCATTCATTTTCTTTAATTTGCTTTCTTTGGGCTGTTGCTCTCTTTTGGATTTTTTTTGATGTTTTTTTTTAATCATTTGATGGTGCACTTTGCATTGGATCTGCTGCCACACCCACACTGGTGGATGACTCTGCTGCACATGGCTTGCATATTTAGATCACCCTGCGTGTTCATGGCCTCCTTTAATGGTATATCGTCTTTGTCTTTACACTCTATTTGGACAGGTGATCCAGATTTCCTACATTGTTTGTGAGACGGCAAATTTGTACCCTCAAACTTGGGGTCAGGATCACAGTTCATTTGTTGGCTTTCACTTGGCAT